TCCTCCACAGAACCCAGTTGGTGTCCAGCAGCTCCCAGCGGTCAATTACGGCATGACACACCAACCCAGCTACATCCCGATGCAGGCCAAGGTTGCAGCGCCCCCAGCCCCCGGTCCCGGACTCTATCCCTCCGGGCCATACCAGCACATCCCTCCAGTCAGCTCCCATCAATCTGGCCCGCCGCCGCCCTCGTCCTATCCAGCCCCGCCCAACCAACCTCATCTCCCCCGACCCCCTCCGGGCGGCCCCGCGTCCCGCACCCCTCCCCAGTCTGCCGGCCCCAGTCCTGGTCCCCGGCCGCCCCCCGCGCGGGCCACTCCTCCTCCTCCTCCGCCCGCTGCGTCTTTGAGCGGCTACTACCCGAACGCCCAACGTCAGCAGCAGGTTCCAGGGTGGCAGTACAACTCGGCTCCTCCGCCCGCGGGGCCCCCCGCGGCCATGAACGCGCCGCCCCGGGGCTCGGCGACCAACCACGTGAGCCCACATGCGCCTTACAGCTCGGCGCCTTCACCCTCCATGCCCCAGAACGCGGTCCAGCCGCCCGCCTCTCTACAAGGATACGGCCAGCCAGGTAAGAACATCAAAATGGCCTCCCACCATCAGAACAGGAAATTATCCAAATGGGAAAAACAGTTATCTGGAAGATATCATCGGGGCATTTTTGTGTCTCTATCAGTAAAAAAAAAAAAAGGACGCAAACTGCACAGTTAAAATCAGAGCAGTTGCCTTTGAGTCGTCTTCCCCGATCGTAAAGGTTGTCTAATTTAAAGAAACAATCTCAACTTAAATGGCTTTATCCTTGTGCGCGTTTGTGGCTTTGAATCAAAGTTGCTGGTGTCAGATAAAGTATCTGCAGGGTTGATATGTTGGAAGGAGGACCTTGCCCTCTACTCCCGCCTTGAACAAGTTGACACGCGCGCGCACACACGTTCGGGTCAGTCCAAATTCGTTCAAAGTTCAACGGCACACAGTGATAGAAAGCCTGCCCGCCGAGTTGCACTCATCTGTGCAAAGCACATCATTTTCATCTGATTGATATCGGCTGACTCAAGTGTTTCCATTTTTTTCGTTGTAAAAGTTCAGAGATGATGCTGCCACTTTGACACCTCGACCAACCTTTATTGTAACCATTAAAAAAAAAAAATCTTTTCCAAATGCTTTTGCGTATGACAAGAAAGAAGGCAGTCAACAATCAAATGGTTTCTCGCTCCACCAGGTGCCGCTTCTCCGCCAATGAACCAGGCGGCTTCACAGCAATACTACTCAAGCAGAGCTCCCTATGGGCCCCCACCCGTGGGCCCCCCGCCCCCCACCATGAAACCTGCGGCACCCCCGACGGCCAACGCCACCCCGCCTCCCCCAAAGGCTGACGGTACGCCATTCTTGTGCTCGGCTCCCAACTTGTTGAAACGTCTCGGAATGACAGAGCGGGAATTTCCACCATGTGAGCTTTTGTCTTTCCTTTTTTGTTATCTGTCGTTTCCCCTCCACCCACATGCCAGCTCAGTGGGGGGGCGGCAGCACTTTGCCCCTCACCGAGCCCGACGGTCAGGAGGCGGATGTTGAACCTTCAGGTGTGGCTAAATCTGTCGGTGTGACCGTGTGGACGTCTTCTATCATTTCTTCTTTCTTCCTCTTGTTTTTCCTGAAAACTGATCTGGAGTCAGTACCTTTACAACTGTACAAACCCACTTCCTGTGAAGTTGGGACATCCATCCATCCATCCATCCATCCATGAGCCAATTCGCTTCTCCTCGTTATCCTGTCAGTCTTAATCTTATCACGCCACACAGTACAGGATGATCACTCAGGATCATTTTCATCCGATAATCGGGCTTTAGCTGTCTTTTTAGGACGGAAGCAAAAATGCTTAAATTTGTTTCGATTGTCCGAAAAATGGGGGGAAAAGCCACATGAAAGTCCAAATTGGCCCTCAAATGCAGGCTGTGACAAATGCAGCCCTTCAGTTCAAACACAAGCCGAACTGTGTTCACCCATCCCAGTGGAATGCGTGCTACCATCTGGAAAATGTTCAGGGGGGATGGATTGGAATTGCCGGTCACTAGTTGTTTTGTTTTTTAATGTTGCGATCCAGTGGTGAAAGATCCTTAAAACCAGTAACCGCACCAAAAAACAGGAAGGACTAAAAACGTGAATCAAGTGAACACTTTCATGCCGGAGGCTGGAAAAGTCAAACTTTTCCCATCGGAATGCAAACGTCACGGAGATTGAAAGCTCAATCCAGTCCAGCCGGCTGATTCTTGTCGAGAAATACGAGCTTGTCAACACGGCCTCAATTTGACGCCGCATCAGGTCCATCCGCTGTCTGTTTTTGCATCATCTTGTTCCAATCTCTTCCGTGCTGGGTGACGTCGGGTCAAATTACACGAGTTCAAAAGTCATCGCTGTGCCTTTCCAAACAGGAATGCTTGCTGGCGTCGGCGCCAATCATGTGGACAGCAAACTGGGTACGTGTGTGAAAAGACGGACGGGGAATGTCTTGAATTTGTTCACATGTTGCTTATTTTACTTATTTATTTTTTTTGGGTCTCCCCCTGCCCAGCCGGGCCACCCCAGCACATCCCGCCGGGTCACCACTTGGGTCACTACCCTTCCTTGCCGCCTGGGTACCAGCAGCCCGCGGCCCCCCACGGCGCCCCCTCGACCATCTCGCACCCGGCAATTGACAGCGCCACGCAGCCTTACAGTCAAGCGCCTCGGCCGTACCAGCAGGTGAGACGGCGCGCCCGCCCGGGTGCTGATTTGCTGCACCTTTGTTTTTGTTTTTTTTGGGGTTAGGCGTGCAATGCGTGCTTTGTGTGTGCCAGGACAATATGTGTCTGTCTTGTGTGTTCTCACTGTATGTCCCAGTATTTGTCAGTGTGTGTTTCCGTTTGTGTGTATGCGTGTGTGCACACGTTCAAGCGTTTGCTTTGCACTTGGCGTAAACGCGTTCTCAAGTTGAAGATTGCCTCAGCGTGTGTTTGTGGAACAACACGCTCTGCCGCTTGTCATGCATTTGCTTTGCGTGAGTAAACTCATTTTCTCCAGTAAAAGCAGTCCAAACATTGCCTTGAATGCGCCAACGGTCGTTTCGGAAGGCCAAATAATGACTCGGCGGCATTTTACAATCAACAAGTTGACGACGGCGTTCTTCCCGGCAGCCGCCCCCCGGGCCCGGCCCGGCTCAGCTCAGCCCGTCCCTGGCAGCCATGAGTCTGCAGTCCAGCACCCCCGAGAGCCTGCGGGTGGTCAACCTGCTCCAGGAGCGCAACCTGCTGCCCCCGGGCCCGGTGCCCGCCCCCACGCCCTGCCTGCCCCAAGACCTGCAGAAGATGAACTGCAGCCCTGAGTAAGGAGGACACTTTTCTTTGTGCTCGGGGCATTCGGCCCACCTACGTGATGTCATTCGCACCCCATTTGAAAATCGCAGATCCTTCCTTTCACTTTGTCGCGTCAGATGCGGGTGTTTAAGGCGGTCCAACAGAGCCCCCTTGAGGCCAGGCTCTGGCACGGCGTCCGGCAGCCGGATGTTTTGGGCGGCGCGTGACGCATAACGCATGTGGCGCCGGTGTCTCTGTGTCCAGGGTCTTTCGCTGCACGCTGACCAGCATCCCCCAGACGCAGTCTCTGCTCAATAAAGCCAAGATGCCGCTGGGCCTCCTGCTGCACCCCTTCAAGGACCTCTCCGTAAGGCCGCCTCAACACTTGCCGGTTGCGTTGTCCTCTCGAACAGACACGCCACGTCAACCCAAATGTCGTGATCCAAATGTTTTCTTCCCGCTGGCGAAATATCCCATTTGCCATCTAATGAGCAGTGAATATCACAAAACTAGGCCTTAAATCTTGAATGTTTGAATGGTGTGTGGAATATACATACTCGGAGTGGTAAAACATGAGCAGATTATTTTGCTACTTGTTTTTTTTTTTTTTTTCCCTGATTCCCACGCGTATGACCACCGCAGCAGAACACAATCTGTTGTGGGGCCGATTGGCTTGTTTGATGCCGTTTGTCGGCAAACAGTGCGAGCTTCCGTCTTGTTGATTCTGCATCACCTCATGCGAAGAATAGTTCCGCTTAGCCGCCGAGGAAATGTTGCAAATCATTCCCCGCAAGCGATGTGACCGAGTGCGCCGTACCGCCTCCCCACCCGGGCCTCTTGTTTGTTTTCTGCTTCCGACAGCATCTCCCCGTGGTGACGTCTAGCGCCATCGTCAGGTGTCGCTCCTGCCGGACTTACATCAATCCGTTCGTGTCCTTCCTGGACCAGAGGAGGTGGAAGTGCAACCTGTGCTATCGGGTCAACGATGGTAAGAAGCCACACTATGAGAATGCCCTCCTGTCGACACTATTTGAGTCACGAAAATTAAAACAAGATGAATTTGACATTTTGAAACCTGCAAGTATGTACATGTGTTCGTGCCACTGTGATTGGAAAACAACTCAAACGATGTAAGGGTGTGGATTTGGCATCGAAGGATTTTGAGCGGGGTCAAAATCGATTTGGAGCTCGCTGTGTATGACCATGGTCGCGTGTGTGTGTGTGTGTGTGTGTGTGTGTGTGTGTGTGTGTGTGTGTGTGTGTGTGTGTGTGTCTGTGTGTGTCTGTGTGTGTCTGTGTGTGTCTGTGTCTGTGTCTGTGTCTGAAGTTCCAGAGGAGTTCATGTACAATCCAGTCAGTCGATCCTACGGAGAACCACACAAGCGACCCGAAGTGCAGAACGCCACCATCGAGTTCATTGCTCCTTCAGAATACATGGTAGCGCTCTTCTGTTGGCTTAAGTTGTGTGATGATTTTTTTTTTTCTTTCTTTCTTTGAATGATTATTTTTTTCTGCCCGATGCCCACCCTTAGCTGAGGCCGCCGCAGCCGGCCGTGTACCTCTTCGTCCTGGACGTGTCTCACAACGCGGTGGAGACGGGCTACCTGAAAGTCTTCTGTCAGTCGGTGCTTGACAACATCAACGCGTACGTGAACGGCGCCGCCAATTCTTCCGTGTCCCCTCACGGCGCCGGCCCGATACTGACTTCACGTTTTGTTCTGCGTGCGTGTGCGCCAAAGGCTCCCCGGAGACGCGCGGACAAAAGTCGGCTTCATCACATTCGACAGCACCATTCACTTCTACAACCTCCAGGAGGGACTCTCCCAACCTCAGATGCTCATCGTGTCGGACATCGAAGGTGACACCCTTCGTTGGGTACTCCTCATGGTCCCACGTTGCCTAATTGGCCTGTTTTGCGGATTCTCTTTGTCCGCTGTCCTCTCGTTATGAGCTGAAAATGCAAGATTATTATGATCATTATTTTGGGGGGGGTTTGGTTTTGTTTTTTTTGTGCTCAGGCCAAAGCCATGTCTCATAAAAGTATTGCTTTGGCGCCGTGTGGAGGCATCTTTTGCGAAGGAACTACATGAGTGCCTTGAGTCCCAACTGAATTGCAAATTAAGTTTTTGAAACAAGCAAATGGCGTTAAAGTCTGTTGAGTGTAATGCTAACGCCACCGTCAGGCTAACAAATAGCATTGATGTCCCAGTATTATAATCCTGTAAGCAAGGGATATTTGAACACAAATGGTGGAGCACCACATGTAGACAGATGAAACAATACTTGCTGGTCTATATTCTTTATCCTCGGCGGGGAAAATATGATTATTTAGGCTCCAGTTGCGTCCTGAGGAGTGACCAGCGTAGTCACAGAACAAATTAAACTCATCTCTAGACACCATGGGTACTGGAAGTGAAGGGATAAGCTAAAAAATGATTTTCTTGTCAGCTGTGACATCTCTAGGCAATTACAAAGCTTTTTTTTTGGGGGGGGAGGGGTATGCATCACTCTAGAAATATTGCTACAAATGGCGAGGAACACTGTAGTTTCGACTTCCTAACAGTATGCATTACAGTATATCTGCTTGTGTGTCCCACAGATATCTTTTTACCCACACCCGACAGCCTTTTAGTCAACCTCAACGAGAGCAAAGAGGTGAGAAATGTGCTTGCATCAGGAAACACCTTCTCGGGATGTCCTTTTAAAGTCGTCTTGTTTTTTTTTTAGTTGCTTCTCCAAAGCGTATCCTCACACATTTCATCACCCTTACATACATCCCTCAAAGCTCTTAAAAAAAAAAAACTCTGGACAAATGGTGTCGCAGCAGCCGACACGGTTGATAATCACTAAGTAAAGACCTAATGAGTCATTGTTTAATTTTGCTGAGGGTAGACAACGTGGATTGAAGCATTTGCATGAATGAAGGCCGCTACTGGTGAGCAGCCACCGCAAAATGTTGAGTTCTCATTTGACATTGTACCCATCCCAAAAAATCTTGCAGAATCTCTTCTGATACCTTGTGTGATATATTGAGCCTATACCGCTCACTCCCGGTGGTGAAATTTGTGAAAGAGAGATGTGTGTTCTCAAGCGCGGAACCTAGCGAAAGTTCGAGTTGTACCGAAACCCTGAACGGTTGGATTCGTACATTCTAAAGCTAATGTGACATCAATGCGTCTCGCAGCTGGTGCAGGATCTCCTGAAGAGCTTGCCCACGTTATTTGAGAATACCATGGAGACTCAGTCGGCGCTGGGCTCAGCGCTGCAGGCCGCCTTCAAGCTGCTGTCGCCCACCGGCGGCCGCTTGTCCATCTTCCAGACGCAGTTGCCCAATCTTGGCGTCGGGGCGCTCCAGTCCAGGGAGGACCCCAACCAAAGAGCGTCCGCCAAGGTGACAAGTTGACGTTGGCTTGGGATTGGAACTGGGATGATGACTGGATCCTCACAGATGTTATTTTTTGTTTGTTTGTTTCCTCCCGCGCCGCCACCCTCTCAGGACATCCAGCACTTATCCCCAGCGACGGACTTCTACAAGAAGCTGGCGCTGGACTGCTCGGGGCAGCAGGTGGCCGTCGACCTGTTCCTGCTCAGCTCTCAGTACTGTGACTTGGCGTCTCTCGGTGAGGCCGCATTTTTAATCATTTATTGGTTTGACCGTTATTTATCCAGGCTAACATATACACATATGTATTTTTAAATTGTGGTCTAAGTTAATGCATGTAGATCAAGTGAGACACCCAAAATCCGCCTTTTATTGAAAAGGTCTTTCAAAAGACACGTGATTTCATAGCAAAATCAGACCACTCTGGGGGGCGGGGGCGGGGGGGGGGGGCGGGGTATAATGGAGTTGACAGAAGTCCCAAATTCTGAAAAAAAAAGGGGCTGGGCGAAAACAAAGCGAAGGCGGCTCCAGGTCCAGTGAGGGGATTCCCTTTTCTCCTCCGTCTTTGGCAGGTTGCATATCGCGCTACTCCGCCGGGAGCGTCTACTACTTCCCCTCCTACCACCACCAGCACAACCCCGCCCAGGTGGAGCGCTTCCAGAAGGACCTGAAGCGATACCTGACGAGGAAGATCGGCTTTGAGGCCGTCATGAGGATACGCTGCACCAAAGGTACTGCGGAGACCCGAGCATTTGTAGACGAGACAAACAAAACCAAAAAAAGGAAGAGCGTGGTCTGCCTGGTGGATGACTTTTTCTTGGATTTTTTTCTGTAGGGCTGTCCATTCACACGTTCCACGGCAACTTCTTTGTGCGCTCCACCGACCTGCTGTCGCTGCCCAACGTCAACCCGGACGCCGGCTATGCCGTGCAGATGTCCATCGAGGAGAACCTGGACGACATGCAGGTGGTCTCCTTCCAGGCTGCGCTACTCTACACCTCAAGCAAAGGTCGGCACGAGTGTCCCTGCCTCGCTCAAGTTGATTTGAATTGACTTCTGCTCAATTCGTTGGACAATTTTCAGTGTGAGAATCCGCTTGTGCCGTTAAAGGTTATTTTCTGTTAAGGCTACGAAGGTGTCTTAACCGGTGGTGCCGGTAATGATCGAGGGCGCGATGAGTGAAGTCGGATCCTTTGTGGCACGGCGCTTGAGGAGCGCAGCGTTTCACTTTCTGCTTTTAACAGGAGAGCGGAGGATCCGCGTGCACACCCTGTGCCTCCCGGTGGTCCACTCCCTGTCGGACATCTTTGCCGGCGCCGACGTTCAAGCCATGGCCGGCCTGCTGGCGTGCATGGGTGAGGATCATGCTTCCCGTCAGGACTATCGCAATATTTTTCGAAGATATTGTGAGGGGGAGATTTCATTCGATTTTGAGATTTTTGATCAGACTGACCACACCACATACGGCAGGGATATCTGCTCTGCTTCACTTTTTGAGCCTTTACCGTAATGGGAGCGTCCTTCGGGTTGTCGGCGCGAGAGATTCGGAGCTAAAATCAGGCTCATTAAGCCACTTCATCTCAGAAACTTTTATGGGAAATTGCGTGGCGCTTTGTGTCAGTCTTATGAAACGGTTTTAGCACTGTTGCGTTTACCACGATAAACTGATACTTGTTTAAAAAAAAAAAAAAAGAATGTAAAGGAGAAACATAAGGCCTCTCGAGCAAGCCCCTCGGCGATACGTAAAGGTGTGGTCTCCTTTCAGCCGTGGACCGCTCGGTGACGGCCAGCTTGAGCGACGCCCGGGACGCCATGACCAACGCCGCCATCGACTCCCTGTCGTCGTACCGACAGTCGAGCAGGTCTGCCGCCATCGCAACACACGCTTCCACTCGAGGGTTTTGAGTTTGTTTTCGACCGGATGACGTCACTGAGCAATTTGGGGACAAAGGAGCAATTTCAAGTCAGGTTCCAATTCCCGACAAAGTGCTGAGAGACTGGGACTACAACACACTGACAAGAGTCTCGACTCAGCTGTGTTTCTAGAGCTCTTTCAAACAACATCCGCCGCTGTGTTCAAAAGTGCTGTACGTTGAGCAAAAATAATACGTACAAAAAGAAAACGACTAATAAAGAACGAAGACGCTAAGCCAGAAAGCATTCCGGACGGGCACCAGCACCAGGCTGGACGACCGCGTGGCCTCCATGTGTCAGCTCAAGTACCAGCCGCTGGCCTACGCCATGCTGACCATCCACCCCGCGTTGTACCGCGTTGACGATCTGACCGACGAGGTGAGGGCGTTACAGCAACGCGATCGCAAGCCACTCCCCGTAGATCCGGACGGGCACCAGCACCAGGCTGGACGACCGCGTGGCCTCCATGTGTCAGCTCAAGTACCAGCCGCTGGCCTACGCCATGCTGACCATCCACCCCGCGTTGTACCGCGTTGACGATCTGACCGACGAGGTGAGGGCGTTACAGCAACGCGATCGCAAGCCACTCCCCGTAGAGTGGCGCCGGATCGAGGCGATTTATTCCCCGGCGCGATGACTCTGTGCGTAAGGAGCTGCGTTGCCTTCCTGCCTCCCCAGGGCGCCTTGAACGTCAACGAGCGGACCGTCCCTCAGCCGAGGGTGCTGCAGCTGTCCGTGGAAAAGCTGAGCAGGGAGGGAGCCTTCCTCATGGATGCTGGAACGGTGCGCATTGACATCTTCACGCAAGAAAGTCACCATGAATACAACTTGAGAATATATCTTAGTAGTATTTCTCGAGCACTTGAAAACAACCTGCGCTGCACACAAATAGCCGTACGTGGAGCACAAAGAATTCATACAAAAAAGAATAAAACAATAAATGAGTAACAAAGACAGTAGAAAGCACCAAAACAGTCAAAGGCAAAGGATCAAAATGTGTTTGAAGACGAGGGGCGGCGAGGGGGCTCACTGTCCACTTTAAGAACCAAGTTGGAGACTGTTGGCTTCAGATTAGGAACCAGGATGGGATGTACGAGAGCCACTGGCACAATGGCGAGGGGGCGGGGACAAAACGAGTGTCATTTTCAACATGTTGCCATCTCCATCCAGATCATGTATCTGTGGATCGGACGCAATTGCAACCCCAACTTCCTCACTCAAGTCCTGGGTGTCCCCAGCTACGCCGCCGTGCCTGATAACCTGGTGAGATTTGTTTCTTACCTAACAGAAAAAGCAATTGTGAACTTTTAATTTTTTACACAAATACTAACAATGCTCTTCCCGTGTCAGTACTTTCTGCCAGAGCTGGACACTGCCGAGTCTCAGAGGACCAGAGCGTTTGTGGGCTGGCTGAGGGAGCAGAGGCCCTTCTTCCCCTCGCTGCACATCATCAGGTGGGCAGCTGCACTAAACCTCTTGACGCCGTGTTTTTATTTGTCTTTGTGATTTTTTTTTTTTTTTTTTTTTTCCCCTTTTTCCCCAGGGACG